ACCGGGTCCTGACCCGGCTTTAATGGATAAGGTGGAAGTCCTGCGGGTTGGTCCAGTATCTCCCAGGTAGCATGACTAAGTCGCAGTAGATGAAGAACCTGTCTTGTGAGACTTAAATCGTCTTGTCTTAACCGCACGCCCAAGTAGGAGTGTTTTGCGAGTCTTGCTGCGGCTTGATCTTCTTCTTCTTCAACTCGCAGGACCAAGGCGGTTTCTGGGGAATGTGCATATGTGCGGGTTGGTTTCCATTGCACATAGGTCGCAGGCTCAAGTCGGAGTGATTTGCGAGTGATCGTGCGGCTTAGTTCCAGGCGCGGCTAACTCGCATGCCTAAATCGCACGATTGTGGACTTAGCATTTCTCTTGCTCGGGAGCCTCAGACCTCATCCAGTGATAGCTTACCCGCACTTCTCAACTCGCAGCATCAGCTTTCAGGCATTCATCTTCAGGCCTGCGGGTTAACCAAGTCGCAAGACCATCTCGCAGCATTCAGAGCAGCTTGGACCTCTTTGCATTCCGGAGAGTGTAACTTCTACGATACGTGTCCCAATTGAGTGATTCCGGTTGCAGAAGACCGAGGACTCATTTATCTCCAACTCTCGTGAAGAAGGTTTCGGTGCTTGGGAAGTGGAAGGCTTCCTGGAGGGCATATCTTTGCAGCGCATTTACACGAACAGAGAGAGGTGTCTAGACATGTGTCCATTCGGGAGACCGTATATTCCTGCTCATAGCTCCGAATTGAATGATCTCGGACGTTCTGAAAATAAGACTCAAATGTCTCTGATTCTGATGAAGGCCCCGGAAACTGAATCGGCCTGGAAGTACACCGTCCTTCGCATTCTTCAGAGCTCATCGGCTTAGTCCAAAACAGCAGCGAGCCAGGGGTTTCTTCCGACGAGCTTAACTCTCTGCTCACGCGTCCGAATTCCATGATTTCACTTGCTATGAAACCGTGATCCAATCCTCTCCAACCTCTATGAAGCACCCGACATCTGAATCGGACCGGAAGGTTCCCCGGACAGGCGATTTCGGAAACGTGTCTGCACCCGGAGATTTTGGCCGAGAGATCCTTTAGCCGGTACGCGTTTTGGCCGATAAGATCCACCCGCGGTACGTGTTTTGGCCGATAAAATCTTTCCTGGTACGCGAGAATGGCCGAGAAAAACCTTCCTGGTCAGCGAGAATGGCCGAGAACTTCCTTTCAAGCTTTGATCACCATTTCTCTTCCTGGATTCACCTCTTCAACTCCAAATAGCTTCAAATGCACCTGATAAACACTCAAAACATGCTAAGACTCATTGGGACCTAATGCATCTCCTAAGTTCTAAAACAAAGCCTAAGGACCTAAAATGCATGAAATAAAATATGATTTGGAATGAAATATGCAACCTAAATGATGCAAATTATGAACTTATCAAGGCACCTCAGCTGGAACTCAAACCTCTTCCCAAGGGGCTCAGGTATGCTTTCTTAGGTCTCAATGAGTCTTATCCTGTCATTATCGATGATATGCTGTTAGAGGACCAAGAGCATAGGTTGTTAGAAGAGTTGAGGAAACATAGGGGATCCATTGGCTACTCTCTGGATGACATAAAGGGTATATCACCCTCCCTATGCACTAATAGGATTTACTTAGAAGAAGAGTCTATGTCATCCATAGAGCACCAAAGGCGCCTCAATCCCAACTTAAAAGAGGTAGTGAATAAAAAGTTTCTCAAACTCCTATAGGCTGGGATAATTTACCCAATCTCAGACTCTAGATGGGTTTCACCAGTCCATGTGGTGCCCAAAAAGGGGGGGGAATGACAGTAATAAGAAATGAGAAGGATGAGTTGATTGCTACTAGAACTATAACTGGACACAGGATGTGTATAGATTATAGGAAGCTAAATGCAGCCTTTAGGAAAGATCATTTGCCTTTGCCTTTTATTGATCAAATGCTAGAGAGGCTTGCAAACCATCCCTTCTTTTGTTTTCTAGATGGTTACTCTGGATTCTTTTAAATTCCCATAGATCCGAGAGACCAAGAGAAGACCACATTTACTTGTCCTTATGGTACATTTGCATACAGGCGCATGCCTTTTGGCCTTTGTAACGCCCCTGCCACATTCCAGTGTTACATGATGCATATATTCTCTGACATCATTGAAGAGAAGGTGGAGGTGTTCATGGACGATTTTTCTGTCTATGGCTCCTCCTTCTCCGATTGTCTTTCTAACTTGTCACGGGTCCTGGAGAGATATAAGCAGCATAACCTGGTGTTAAATTGGGAGAAATGCCACTTCATGGTGCAGGAAGGAATTTTACTTGGGCATAAGATCTCTGAGAAGGGCATAGAGGTTGACAGAGCAAAGGTGGAAGTGATGGTGAATCTGCAAGCTCCCACTTCAGTCAAAGGGATAAGGAGCTTCCTTTAGTCAGAAGATTCATCAAAGATTTCTGAAGAATAGTCAGACCTTTGACAAGGCTATTGTGTAAAGAGGTTGACTTGGTCTTTGATGCTGAGTGTGAAGAAGCCTTCAAGAAGATCAAGGATGCATTAGTCAGTGCACCCATTGTCCAGGCTCCAGACTGGTCTCTTCCTTTTGAGGTTATGACTGATGCATCAGACTATGCAGTTGGAGCTGTGCTTGGCCAGAGGAAAGACAGGAAACTTCATGTCATATACTATGCCAGCAGACCATCTCTCTAGGTTAAGAGTGGACTCTGAAGTCCCTCTTAATGACAGTCTCCCTGAGGAATCATTGATGGTGCTTAGCTCTTACTTGAAGTTTGAGGAAGTGGATAACATCCAAGAGAAGAGAATGCCCTAGTTTGCTGATATTGTGAACTTTCTTGCTTGTGGAGTGGAACCACCAGAACTTGATGCTTACCACAGAAAGAAGTTCTTCAGAGATGTCCAAAGATACCATTGGGATGAACCTTACCTGTATGTCCTGAACAAAGATCAGCTGTATAGAAGGTGTCTTGCTCAGGAGGAGATGCAACCTGTGTTGCAAGAGTGCCATGGATCAGCTTTTGAGGATCACATGGGAGCATTGAAGACTGTGGCCAAGGTTCTTCAGAGTGGGTTTTAGTGGCCCACAATGTTCAAGGATGCTCAGAGGGTTGTTTCAACATGTGATGCCTGTCAGAAGCATGGGAACATTTCAAAGAGGAGTGAGATGCCTCAAAATCCAATACTAGAGGTTGAAGTCTTTGATTGTTGGGGAGTAGACTTTATGGGGCCTTTCATCTCATCTTATGGGAATCAGTACATATTACTGGCTGTGGACTATGTGTCCAAATGGGTTGAGGCTATTGCTTCCCCTACCAATGATTCCAAGGTAGTGGTCAGGTTGTTCAAGAACATAATCTTCCCAAGATTTGGAGTACCCAGGGTTGTTATTTCTGATGGAGGGTCTCACTTTGTGAACAAAACCTTAAAAGGACTGCTGAAGAAGCATGGAGTGAAACATAAGGTAGCTACTCCTTATCATCCTCAAACTAGTGGCCAGGTTGAAGTGTCTAATAGACAAATTAAGGCCATTCTTGAGAGGACCGTTAGCTCAAACAAGATAGATTGGAGAAAAAGGCTGGATGATGCATTGTGGGCTTATAGAACAGCCTTTTGGGGTCTGCTGTTTAAAGAAAAGAAAAGCTCTTGTGTTTTGAAAAGAAAAGTCTAACCTCTAACTGATGATGATTGGGTTAGAAACTGTTTTAGCATAGGAGTTAATATCTTCATGAGAGGATTAACTTAATTAAAGATGTTTATGTTGAATGGTTTGCTTGATCATATGATTCATTAGCTTATTAGTCTATCACTGAAGGCACCCTAATCCACTATCATGTCTAAGACCTTTCTCATCATCTGTCATACATTCTCATCATTTGTCATTGTTTAGTTCTTGCTTAATCATTTCATTAGTCTTTAATCCTGTTTAAGTTTGTATTTGTCTCTAGATAATCAAAACCCACTCTTGTTTGCTTGAATTAAGAACTTGATCACATAGTTTAGTGTCTAACACCACATCTAGATTGATAAACCTCTTTGTGCTACTTTGACAAGGGGATTGATAGCCCTGAGACCCTAAAAAGTCTTATCTATCATTTCCCTATTCACGGCTCGGCCCATCTGCCTTTCTCCACGGCTCTCCCACTTGTCTATCTTCCACGGCTCTCCCACTTATCTTTCTCCACGGCTCTCCCACTTGTCTTTCTCCACGGCTCTCCCACTTGTCTTGGTGAGCACGGTTCGGCTAATTTGTCTTTCTTCCATACTTAGTCATTTTGAGATGGTTTTATCCGCTTGGGGTGAAAACCGACCCCAACAGTTAGCCCCCCAGCTCGTCAGTTTCGGAGGCGAGAGTGACGAGATCCATTACTCCTGACCGTAGGATAAACCATCGAGTCAAGCTGTTGTGACGTAAGCCCAGGTGAGGTATTTTGGGAATGAAGACGCCGAGGCGTTCCCAAGGAGTGCCGAGGATGCCGAGGTGTTTCGAGAGGGTACCAAAGATGCCGAGGCATGTTAAGGACGAGGCGATTCCGTTTAGTAGTGGCGAGCCGTGACGAGGCGTTTCGAGAAGGTTATGCCGAGCTGAATGAACGGCAAGGCGTTTTGAGAGAAAGTCGATGCCGAGCCATTTTGTTAACGACGAGGCGTTTCAAGAGAGAGTTAATGCCGAGCCGTTTCGTTAACGACAAGGCGTTTCAAAAGAGAGTTAATGCCGAGCCGTTTCGTTAACGACGAGGCGTTACTATGTTAAGATGTCGGCTGAATGCTCGGGTATCCCAACCGTTGGTCTTCCAAAAGAAAATTCCTGATCTATTGGCGCGTGCAACCGACGCAGTACGAGCCAGCTAATTCACCGCAGATCCCACGCGCTGTTGGACGGTTTCCAAGGTTCACACGGAATTCACGCGCTTCGGTTTTCCTATAAATAGGCGAGCTCCTTCATTCTTTCTCATTATCTTCAGACTCACTAGTTTTCACTAAAGGTAGCTCTCCCTTCTCTCTTCTTTCTCTCTCTAGTTTATTTATTTTCCGGCTAGGGTTTCCGAGGTCTCTGCCATTCCAGATTTTTTTCCGGCGGAGGTTCGCCGAGTCGTGCTGTAATTCCTGTATAAGTTGTAAATTATGTCGAGCCGCTTCGACGATTCGCTGGATTCACTCTTTCATTACGAGCCGAGCCGCGTTGATGTTGAGGCGAGAGGTACAACAGAATCCTCCGAGGCATCTGTTTCACCAACCCCTTCCAATCGTTCATCTGACAAGGCGTCAAATCATGCAAATCCGTCAGATGTCGGCTCTCCAGATGATGAGCCGTCGGTTTCGATGAGCCGTCCCCAGGATCCCGTTCCTGATGAAGATATTGATCGCGCCGCACTCAAAGCCGAGGAGGAGGCATTTCCCTTTGACCTATTCGAGGCGAAGCGTGAGTTGGAACGTGTCATGGCGTCCCGAGGCGCTTCCACATCTGGGCGAGGGCCACGAGTTAAGAGACAAAAGCCCGACCCGCCTGGCTCTACGCTTTGCTCCCTTGAGTCGCTCGAGGCGTTGGGGCATCGCTTTGGGATATCCGAGGCGGTGGAGTTTGTCGTTCCAAAGAAAAGCGACCGTGCCGACAAGCTTCCAGAGAATCACTTCACTCTGTACGAGGCGTTCTTCGAGATTTGCTTTCTCTGGTTCCCGATCCCCGGAGTGATCCTTGAATATCTCTGGAAACACAGGATCTCGATTGGGCAAATCATGCCGAGGGGATTATGGCATATGATTGGCATCTTAGTCCGAAGCTTTGAATGCGGGCCTGATATCGAGCTGAATCGCCTGCTGAACTTGTTGGAAATCAGAAAAGCTCCGAAAGGAAATAGATTCTATATTTCCAACAAGGCGAAGCGACGGATCATAGGCGGTTTTCCCAGCAAGGATCAGTTTTGGACTGAACGCTTCTTCTACGTCTTGGTGAACGAGGCGTCGGTCGGCGAGGATTACGTTCAGAGAACCAAGACCGCTTGGGGACCACTTGGTAGCCGACCCGAAGCTTTGCCTCGGCTCGGAACTGTTTTTAGGTATCTTTTTCCCTTACTGAATTTTTCCTTTCCTTTTTGCTTTGTTTTGCAGTTCGGAACATTCTTCCCCCGATTCCCGACGACCTCTTTGTTGTTCGAGGTTCTCTTTCGGCTCGGAAGGTCAATTAGAGGAAGAGCTTTACCCTCGAGAGAGTAGAGAAAGCCCGAGCTATCCTTGCCGGAGTCCCTGTCAGCTCTTCGTGTTCCAGCTCCTCAAGAGATACACGAGAAAAAATGGTGATAATCGCTCTGAGAGATAGGAAGAGGCGTGAAGAAGAAGAGGCCGCGAGACGAGCTGCCGAGGCGGCTCAAGTGCTGACCGAGGCGGTTCAAGCGCAGACCGAGGCCATCTCTCAACCCCACCCGCCGAGACGGGAAGGAGACGAAACGGTCCGAGCCGCAGAGGCCAACACTGCCGAGGCAGCCGAGAAAGATGCAGCGCCCGAGGTGGAACCGGGCGAAATTATTCCCGAGGCGTCCGGGGGTGATTCGGCGGTGCGGAGCAAAACCCCTTCGAACTCTGCCATTTTCGCCCTCCCGAAGTCGACGAGGCCCCCGACTTCAGTTGTTCAGAAACATGACCCCAGCCGAAAACGTTCGGCCGCTGACAAGGGGAAGGGCGTTGCTGTTCAGAAGGACGAGCCGTCTAGGAAGAGTCGGAAGCCGACGCTCGGAGGCTCCGCTGCGCGCAAGTTGGTCGTCGACGACCTCGACGCCTCTACCGTTATGTTCTCGCGTGTAAATAACGCGAACACGCGTCTTCCTCCTCCGGAGAAGCTGAGGAGGCCAAGGTACGTTCTATTTGCTTTCCTTTATTTTTGCGAATTTTACTAAGTGTTTAACGCGAGTTTGTTCTTTGCAGTTTGAAGCAGCCATTAACGACCTGATGGCCGAGTACGAGGCGGACCTGTCTAAGGTTGAACGTCGCTTGGACGAGGCCCAAAATGAGACCGCGGCGTCAAAGGTGAAGCTGGAAGAGGCTCAGAACGAAGCCGCGGCGGCAAAGGGGAAACTGGACGAGGCGATGGCCAGGGCGTCCAGGCTGGAAGAGGAGAAGATCGTTTCGCGCGCCAATGTTGACAAGGTCTCCGCCTCAGTCATTCTCCTCGAGGAGGCGAGGAGAGCTAAAAGCGCCGAGGTGGCGATGCTTAAGAGGCGTATTGAAGCCAAGGATGCCTTGTTCGATGCAAGGTCAAGCGGGCGAAAAAGGAGGCGAGGCGAGAGCTTACGGCTAGGTTTCAGGAACGCCTCGCCAAGGTGGAGGAGGGTTTGGCCAAGCTCGAGAAGGCCAAAAATGACGAGAACGATCTGGGGCAGATCAACGGAAATCTTGCGATGATTGCCCACCTGAAGAAGCCGGACGCCCCAACGCTCGATGACAAGGAGGCGAAGCTGAAACGCTGGGAGAGTGAATATGCTGACGACGAGGCGTACGAGCGTATTGCCTCCGAGATCCGAGGCGAGCTGGTTTTCTCTCCTGTATCGCCGGACTCGGTAGACACCAGCATTGGCAACGAGCCGCTTGAAGAGACAGCGGCCAACCTGGGTGTCGTTGATCCGACCGGATCGAACGCGGGGACACCGGCCCTCTCGAACCTCCTTGCCGAGCGCGAGACGCAGTCCGCGGCCTGATACTCTCTGCTTTCCCTCACCCTTTATTGCATATGTTTTTTTGTACTTAGGTTTTTTGATGATTCACTTTTCGAACTTGTTATGTAATTGGTGCCTGGATGGCTTTATCCACTTGACTTTTATTTTTGCTTTATGGATATATTTTATTTTCCTTAGCCGTTTTCGGATTCACTTGTCTCTAACGATCCGTGAAAATGTTTACGAAAACTGTTGGCTTAGAAAAATTATCAAGGATGAAAACTGTTGTGTCGAGAATGATTTTGAAATTGATAGAAATACAGGCTAAGGGATGAGTTGTTTAAGGATCTCTTTTGGGTTCTTAATCCCGAGCTGGGAGTTAGTTTTGTGGCGTGTCTTTTGTTTTAGGTGACGCTGGAAAGTTTTTAAATGATAACATCAAGGCAACTTTTGTTGGCAATGCCAAGCCGTGTTTAACGACGAGGCGTCTTCGCTTTGCATGGTGCCGAGCCGTGTCAACGACGAGGCGTTTTCTCTTTGCATGGTGCCGAGCCGTGTAAACGACGAGGCGTTTCGTTTTTGTTAACTGAGGATGATCTGGTGGTCTTGTTGAATTTGACTATAGACCGGCGTTTCTGAGAGGATGAGTGTGTTTTGCCGGGTTCTAAGAGTTTGCTTTGGTTTTAGAGAAAGCGATGTAGTCTCGACTTATAATCTCGTGTGCGATAGTGAACTGTGGCGACCGATACGTTTTTGGTCTAATATTTGTATAGCGCGCTTTATCTTTTATCCATAGAGGATTAACTTGCACCCTCGTCCTAGGAAAGGTGGTAAAAGTCCGTTTAAAGAACTTTGTATTTGTTGCCCCGTTGTGGCCAGCAACGAGACGTGGCATTCAGAGGCTTAGCTGCCGAACTGAAACTGCCGAGGCAATCAGGTCATGATACCATGTCGAAGTGGTATGATTACTTGCCCAGGTGAGTGAAGAATTTAAAAATCCGAGCTTGTTAAAATAAGTTGCTGATTTATGAAGAATGAGAAACTAGCCGAAGCGATAATGAACGAACTAGAAATCCGAGGTAAACATAGAATAAGTAGATGATTTAAAACGAACTGAAAAAGGGTCGAAGTGGCGATGTTCCTAAGTGAACAAGCTGAAATTGTAGAGTTAAAGGAGGTATGTGTATACATACCCACTCCCCCCCCTTTTTTAGGAGGGGGGACAGCTGAACCCGTCCGAGGACGGGCTGTCTACGTACCCTTTGCAGGGATCAAGCCGTCCCGTAGTTCATGTTGACCGTGCTGTGGCTTTAGTGATAATACTTCTTTAGATGCATTGCGTTTTATGATCTTGGAATCGCTTCGTCAGCTAGCGTCACGAGTTCATAGACACCTGGGCGAATTACTTTTGTAATCTTGTAAGGGCCTTCCCAGTTTGCCCGGAGCTTTCTTGCATTCTTCTCGGAAGTGTTTTGGAAGACCTTTCAAAGGACGAGCTCCCTTTCTTTGAATCTTCGACTACGAACGTTTTTGTTGTTGTATCTCGCCGTTGCTTGTTGATAGTTCTGAATTCGGATTAAGGCTTGGTCGCGCTTTTCGTTGATTAGATCGAGCTCATCTAGCATCATTAAGTGGTTCAAGCCCTCCTGTCCTGGTAGAAGTCTTCGTCGAATACCTGGGAAATCCACCTCGGAGGGGATTACGCACTCTGTTCCGTAGACCAAGGCGAATGGAGTTTCCCCGGTGGCTCGGTGCAGAGTTGTCCGATGAGACCAAAAGACTCCTTCAAGCTCGTCTGCCCACCGTCCTTTCTTGGCGTCGAGCCTCTTTTTCAGACCGTCGAGGATCATCTTGTTGGCTGCTTCGGCTTGCCCGTTCCCTTGAGGGTATCTTGGGGTAGATTTGCTTAGACGGATTTTCCACTTTTCGCAGAAGGCTTCAAAGCATGTTGAAATGAACTCGGATCCGTTGTCGGTAACTATCTCGTAGGGGACCCCGTGTCTGCAGATGATATTTTTCCAGACGAAGTGTTCGACTTGAACATCCTTTATGCTTGCGTAGGAATCGGCTTCGACCCACTTGGAGAAGTAATCCTTAAGGACGAGCAGAAAACGCTTCTGCTTCGAGCGATGTAGTGGTCCGACGATGTCCATCGACCATCTCATGAACGGATAAGGTGACGAAATTGACGAGAGCAACTCGGTAGGTTGCTGAATTGTTGGAGCGTGCCGCTGACACTTCTCGCACTTCGCTGTAAATTTTTCGCAGTCCTTGACCATCGTAGGCCAGAAGTAACCGTGTCGTTTTATCTTGATAGCGAGCGACCTTCCACTAGAATGGTTCCCGCACGCGCCGCTGTGCACTTCCTGCATGATCTTTCTTGCCTTCGGTCCTTCGACGCATGTCATGAGAGGCCCTAAAAATCTCCATTTAAACACCTCGCCATCGACGAGGACATACCGCGCGCCCTAAGCTTTTAGTTTGCGGGCTTCCCATTTGTCGGTTGGCACCTCTCCATCGGCGATATACACTTGGATAGCTCCGAGCCATTATTTGTCGCAGCCGTACTCCGGCTCGGCTGGTGAGGCGTCTTCATCCATAGGAATGGCTTCGTCGTCCTCTGGTTCTTGTTGAGGAGGATTTATCAACCGAACTCCTTCTACCTCTTCGATGCTAGGACGTTCGATGAACTCGACTGGGATTGTCCGGCGGAGGTCCTGGTCTGAGGTCGAAGCGAGTGCTGCCAAGGCGTCGGCCGAGGTGTTTTCTCCTCGGGGAATTCGCGTGAGTTCGAACTCGTCAAACTTTTGCACCAACTCTCGGACCATCTTGAGGTAAGCTCTCATTCGTCCATCCTTGGCTTCGTATTCTCTGTTGAATTGACATGCTACGAGCTGTGAATCGCAAAAGGTTCTTATCTTTCAAACTCCGATTCCCTGCGCTAGTCGTATGCCGGCGATCAGTGCTTCGTATTCTGCTTCGTTGTTCGAGGCGTGGAAGTTCAGGCGAAAAAATTGCTCCAATATTTCTCCGGTGGTAGAGGTGAGACGGATTCCTATTCCCGAGCCGTGTTTAGACGACGAGCCACGACTTGCAGCGTCCATACTTCGTCTAGAGTCGGCTCGTTTGTTGCTTTGGCTGGAAGTTCAATGAGAAAATCTGCGAGCACCTGTGACTTTGCAGACGACCTGTTCCGATACTCGATGTCGTATTCGCTCAGATCCTTGGCCCACTTGGCGAGCCGACCGGATTGGCTCGGGCTGTGTAGGATCGAGCGCAGCGGAAGTGTAGCGAGCACAACAATCGAATGTGATTGAAAATACGGGCGCAGTTTGCGAGCCGAGACTACGACGGCTAGGGCGACCTTCTCGATCTGGGGGTAGCGAGTCTCGGCGTTGGTCAGTGTCTGGCTGATGTAGAAAATGGATTTTTGCTCGGATCGTTCTTCTCTGATAATCACTCCGCTTACAGCTGTAGCAGACACTGCGATGTAGAGTGATATGTTCATAATTTACATCATTTAGGTTGCATAATTCATTCTAAATCATGTTTTATTCCATGCATTTTAGGTCCTTAGGGTTTGTTTTAGAACTTAGGAGATGCATTAGGTCCCAATGAGTCTTTGCATGTTTTGAGTGTTTATCAGTTGCATTTGGAGCTGAAAAGATGGATCCAGGAGGTGGAATGGTGGTCAAGGCTTGAAAAAGGGTGAAATGAGGTCTATGGAGGTGATCGGCCATTCTCGCTGACCAGGAAGGTTTTCTCGGCCATTTTTATGTACCGCGGGAAGAGTTTACCGGCCATTTTCATGTACCGCGAGTAAAGTGTATCGGCCAAAATCTCCGGGTGCAAACATGTCTCAGAAATCTCCTGTCCGGGGAACTTTCCGGTCCGATTCAGATGGCGGGTGCTTCATAGAAGTTGGAGAGGACTTGATCACGGTTTCATAGCAAGTCGAATCACGGAATTCGGACGCCTGAGCAGGAAGTTAAGCTCGTCGGAAGGAACCCCTGTCTCGCAGCTGTTCCGGACCGAGCCGATGAGTTCTGAAAAATTCGAAGGACGGAGTACTTCCAAACCGATTCAGTTTCCGGGGCCTTCATGAGAATCAGAGAAATTTGAGTCCTTTTTCCAGAACATCCAAGATCAGTCAATTCAGAGCTTTAAGCAGAAAGATACGGTCTCCGGAATGGGCACATGTACAGACGTCTCTCTATGACCGTGTAAATGCACTGCAAATATGACCCCTCCAGGAAGCTTTAAATTTCCCAAGCACCGAAAGTTCCTTCATCAAAGTTGGAGTCCAATGAGTCCTCTGTCTTCTGCAACCGGAATCACTCAATTCGGACAAGTCTCCAGGAAGTTACACTCTCCGGAATGCGAGATGGTCC